TTTTGTCCCGGACTGTCCCGGTTTTTCGAAAATTAATAAGTAAATTAACAAACTAGTAAAAACAAACTAACTAGTTTTTTCAAATTATGAAATAAGACTCAAAAGTGTAAAAAAACATATGAACCATCGATAAAAAAGATATAATATGGTAGATAAAAAAAAGTATTCCATACAATCAAATAATACAGTCCTTACTAAAACACTGCAATTCTGAAGTAAAAATGGATTCATATAAAAAACTTTTTTTATTGTATCCTAAAATATAATATTTTATTGTATCATTTATTACTTAAAATGCTATTTACCTACTACCTTCCCCCTCCCCCGTCCTGGATTAGCATAACTAAAAATTGCCGCCCGGTTTCTTTAAAACTTAAAAAAAAAATATAATCCCCTTAGTAAACCGTCCACCAGAGACCTCACTATGATCATTCTCTTTGGCGAGTAGATCAGCGAATCGTGGTTTGGCGAACCGGTCGATCTCGACTCGTCTCGTCCGCGTATGTATTACGCGAAGAAACAGTTGATCAACCTGCAGATGTGTGTGCATTGTTTATTTATAAGACTCCGTCGTCTCTAAACCTCGATAAAAATAAACAGTGACACGTGCACCGAACGAGCGCGGGCGTTTTGTGCATGGCGTAGGTCAAGGGACCGCGCTTTTGAACAGGTATGCATACTTGCAGTTATGTCATTTCCACATTCAAACAGTTTCTTATGAATTAATGGATTGTGAAAGGGTTACGTAAAAGATCAGTTTTAACAGCATTAGATTGGTTGTGGATGGTAATTAACACGTAACTAAATAAGAAATTACTTTGAGGAACTTAGATTACTCTTGATTTCTCAGATCAAACTTTGATAATTTTTTTTTTCTTATAAATTACAATCTGTCTAAATAAAAAGACATTGGGTAATTAGTTTGACAAATAACATTAAATTATAAAAGGAAAACCCAGTGGTTCGCCTTTACTTTGATAAATTTCATTGAACATTTTTAAAAATACATAGTTTTGATTGACAAAAAAAAATATTCAAAATTAATCAGAAATATAAAATACAGGTAAGTCAAATTTTGATCAAATAGTTCACGTCAAATAATTAATTGAATAAAGGAAAAAATCAAATTATCAAATAAAAACACTATTCGTATAAAATCATTGTAAAAGTGTTAAATAATGATATAGTTAAAAACATGAAGAACAGAGCAGTGGATAGATGGCAAAAGGGTTGGCAAATACCATCAATGTATAAAAAAATATTATAAATATATTAATGATTTTGTTAAAGAACCGTGGTATTATAAATTAAAGAATCAAAATAGAAATTTTATAACTACAATGAATGGAATAAGATGTAACCATGGATGTTTTCCAGAAAACTTATTTAAAATCCTTAAAGTTGTTTTTTCCAACATGACAATGTAGTATACAATGTCCCTTCTCGGCGGACTATTGTAAATTCATTAAATTTACTAAATGTCCTTTACTGGACAGTTGTAAATAAAAGAGTTAATAAAAAAAAATCCTTAAAGGATGAGGGATTCTAAACTGTGTGAATGTGGAAATGATGTGGGGACTTTGGAGCATATAATCTTAGCAAGCTCCACCTGATTCAAAAAAGATACAAGTCATTTATTAAATCAATTATATAGAGAGGAAAATTTAGTGAAACCTTTAATTTCTTTAATTTAGTTTCAAATATTGAATATTATAGAATTATATACAATTTTTTAGTTATTTCGTTATATGTAAAGTTAGAATTTAAAATTTTATAAACCTTGTTATTGGCTAGTTTGTAAAAAAGAGACCAAATAAATATAAAAAAATCATTGTAGGTGAGCTAGGAGCTATATGTAACAAGGGTAAATAGTAACAGGCGTTTTTCAATAAGATTTTAAATGATATTAAAATATTTTTGGGTCTCGATTGAACATGTAAACCCTCCTACATAATATTGACATAGCTACTGTCCCGCAGGCCAACGCAATATACAGAACTGTGCAAGACCGTCATTTTTAACAGGTAATATGTATAAAATTCATCTATCATAAAATTTCGGTTTGCATTATTATTAACAAATGACATTAAATTTTATATATCTTATTTTTTTTCAAATTTATCAATCTTTAATAATGTGTAACAAATTTTGTGGTTGCTAAATTGTATAAATAGTTATCTTGATTAATATAAAAAAATCACAACTGGGATTAGTTAAAACAAAATCTGGTGGCTAGTTGTAACTAGCAAGAATTATATACAGATTCAAGTGAAAAAGATGAAGAACGTTAAGATGAGACATGATTTCTTTTATTTGTATTATTATATTAACTGTAGCTCACGTTGATTTATAATTAAAATGTATATTGCAAGAAACATTATATATTTTATTTGTACTATGTGTTGATGTATGAAAAGAATTATTTAGAAACAAGTCAATTCTCTTTAAATTGAGTCAAGAATAAATTATTTATTACTTTTTTAGAAAATTATTAACTTGAAATAATGAACAACAGTTGTAGAATTATTTTTACTTGATTCGGCAAGGGAATAGTTACAGCAACCATCCATCTTTATTTCGTAGAAATATAATAGATGAATCTCAAGATATAGTAATTAAAAAAAAACTGTTACAATAATCCCCTAGCACTCCCATATTATGAAGGAACAATGTAATATTAGTATAAAAAAATATATTTGGACATTGGCAAAATTTATAAAAAAGAAAAATATGTTTATAAATTATTTTTATAAAAAATAATCATCTTAGTATACAAATGTGTTTTCGCTTGAACAGAGTGAAAAGTTAGGATTTTGCACCAGAACTATATATTTAAATGATTAATTATCTATCGTGTCTTGATTTTACACAATTGATAAATCGATGTTCTAATAAATTTGTTCACGCCATTTGGGCACACCCACTATATATGAACGTTGATTTCAATCGCAGTCAATCGATAAAATCAAATAATAACATAACAGTAAAATCTGATTATAAATCTATCAATCGAATAAATCAATTAGGAAATTTAAGACATATATATATATATATATATATATATATATTAGTTAGGGTTAAAAATCATCAATAAAAAGTTGAATAAATGTTTTTCTTGCATTTATTTTAAATTCATACGTTTCGGCTAAATTTGGTATCCTTGATTAATAAATAAAACAATATTAACAACATGGTATTAAAATGCGAATTATTAATATTGATATCATGGTGCAATAGATTTATTAAGGATACTAATAATAAATTAATAAATTAAAAAAAGCATTCATACTATTTTTTGTTGGTATATCAACATCAAATTCAAGATTATACAAATATGTATAAGACATTCACAGAAAAACATAAGCATTTCAATATCTTGTTTACCTGTCTAGTTAGATTAAATAAATAATAATATATTTATTATTGTTTTAAAGAAAAAATCTTTCACTTAAAATTTAATCAGTGCATTTTCAATAAATATCATCCGAGAATTCATTACACCATTTCAGAATTACGAATTTCACTATTATTCTCACGGGCAAGAAATCTTATATTACATAAGTTTGCAATTGAAAATATCTCACAAGAAACACATGACAGACAATGCACAACACATATTTCGTACCGGCATAAGAGATGATATTATGTAAGATTCAAGACTAGTTTTATTATTTTCAATTTTATTTGAAACAGAATATTAAATTTAATTGTATTTTAATAGGAAATTAATATTAAGTTTTAAGTAATGTACTTGCCTATGAACCAAATAAACTAATGAATTAAAAAAAAATAGGTTTGGCGGTATCAATAGTAATAAGGTGACCATACGTCTAAGTTAGGCCGGGACAGTTCCGAATTTCCACCTTGTGTCTCGGGTTGATGAAAAATATAGCTTGAAATTGAATTTTTCCAAATACTTGATAATAAAATTACAACTACCCATCAAAAACATCTAAAAATGATATATATTATGTTCCAAGATAACGAGTATGCTTATATAAAACAATACTTCATAATTTTTTTTTGTCAATCAAAACTTCATTAAAGTTTTATAATACAAAATGGTTGAGGAATAATTTATAAATGAGATAATTGTCGAATACAAAATTCCAAAAGAGGGTTAAAAAAGCCTCTCTTAACATTCTAACATTAATACATTCAAACTTTTATTTTCAATTCCACGAAAATTATTATATATTGAAAACGAATGAACATGTGCTATTTTTTTTTAAATTAATTATGAAGAAAATTGAATAGATTTTCATACAAGGCTCAAAAACACAAAGATGGAAAAATATAAGATATAGTATAATATCATAGATAAAAAAATTTACATATAATCGAATAATAAAGTTCTTACTAAAAGTCCGCAATTCTGATTGAAAAACATTGATTTATATAAAAAACTTTATTATTTTTTTTATTGTATTCAAATAGCATTTGTTATTTTAAAGCCCCAGTTCCAAATTAGCTTAACTAAAATTTGGCGTCCCAGTTTGAACTTAAAACAATACGGTCACCAATAAAAAATATGATGAATTTTATAGAAACTTCAGGACATCCCTTAATTAAAAATTTACTTAAAGAAGACATGTATTAGCAAACTTGTCAATTGGATTTTCTTCAAAAGTCTTAACATTTACTAATTAACAAAAATAAACAAATATATATTCCGCTATTTTTGGAATATGTAAATATTTTTTGACATACATTTGTGGTCTCTTTTGCAATCTTTATAATAAACATTGCATTGCATTAATTTATATTAATGATATTCACTATTATTTCGCCACTGACTAATTGCTGACTAGACAAATTTACGAAAAACCAACAATAATGCCAATAATTTCGCATTGAACCTATGCTATATAGAATTAATTATGACTTTCTATTTCAATAAATAATTGCTCAACAATAAATGTGGTTGTAGTAGACCTTGATTCCTCGACAAGAGGAGATAAGACATGTAAATAAAATCATATATTTGTTACAAAACATACTTCACTAATTCAATTAAATTTAGCATCATGCACTTGATCACAATTATTAAAACTCTTTCACAGTCATTTGAAATGAAACACAGATGCACTGATTTTTTTTGTTTACGGTGTGATGCAGAGAGGCGAGCGACCGTACTCCGCAATGAATGCTTTGCAACTACCTAGCGCGAACGAGTAGTGTGCGGGCTGAGTCTGCACTGAATAGCTGAAAGCCGGTCAGCGCATGACGTCGGCGGCCGTATCAGAACGTAAATACGACGTGCACTGCAATTGGACACAAACAATCGTCTAAGGGGAAAACTTTTATTAATTGCACATAAAAACTAGTGGGGTGCATGGCATCGCGCCTTAAGGCAAATCGCTGGAACTTCCCGTACCGTAATTAAAAATCTTGGTACGGAACCCAAAAAAAATTACACAAAATGTGTACACATTATTAAAATCTCTATAAAATACCTGATAATTTAATGTACATATGTCCAATAAACATTTTTGACCGCCAAATGACATTTTTTTAACTTATTTTTATTGAGAGTCTATTACCGCTGGACCTGCCTTCCCTAAAATTTAATCAGTTCTTCATCTTGTCAATACAAGTAAAATGTTTTTTGAATAATTAAAATCGGACGCTCCGTTCTCTTAAAAACGTTTCGTTTTTGGCACTTTTTGCCCCGTGTCTCCGGAACGGCTAGACATCCCTTCGCCAAAAACTAATCAGCACGTCTCCTTATCAATACGAATCGAATGTTTTTTTGAATTATTCAAATCAGTTAATCGGTGTTACCGAAATCGTCGAAGAAAATTTGTATCCACACATACACACACACACAATCACACACACACATAAATGCATTTTTTGTAAGGTATGCCAAATTATTCAGAAAACTTTGAAACGTAAAGATATATAAAAATTAGAATTTTCGATTTTTTTGCGATTACTATAATTTACCCTACGGGAAGCTAGTAGGAAGCTGTATTTTTAATATTATTATAACATTAAAACTAGTGGTGCGTTCCATCGTGCCCAGGCAAATTGCCGCACGAAAATAAATTTATTTAAAATGCTGGACCTGTCTTTGTCAAAAACTAATCGGCACGTCTCTTAATCAATACGAATCAAATGTTTCGGATAATGTTAAAATTATATTTTTTGAAACACTAGATCTGCCTTTATCAAAAACTAATCGGCACGTCTTCCCATCCATATAAATCGAATGTTTCAGAAATTATTGAAATCGGTTTATCCATGTTCACGAAATCGTCGACGAAAATTTGTACGTACATACATACACACAAACATAAACACAAACACATCCATTTTTTCTAATGTATGTCGAAATGTTCATAAGGTTTTCAAACGTAAAGGTACATAAAAATTTTCATTTTCGATTTTTTTGCGACTACTATAACTTATCCTACGGTAAGTTAAATATGTTTGAAAATTCTAGACATCTAATATTATCATCTTTTATTTTTCTGGACTTTTATTCTTCTGCCTCCACTTTTTCCTCTAAAGATGTTTCAATACTTATTATGTGTACATAGTCTTCGAAGTTTTCTTCTACGAGTAGTTTCATATTTTTATAGCCATAAAGTTTTAAATTACATTATTTTAAATAATTGTTCTTATTGGGATGTTTCTGCAAACTTTGATATACAGAAGTTTGAAGTTTTTTTTGTGATTATTTGAACAGCAATCAGAACTTAAGAGTCCCATAAGGGGCCGTCCATTAATCACGTGATCGATTTCTAAAGATTTTTAAACCCCCCTTCCCCTTGTTTATACGTGATGATATTTAAAAGTACTCATCTTCCCCCACCAAATATTACGTGTATTTTTAGTGCCTAGAAATAATTTTTTTTTTAATTTTAGATTTTTTTTAAATTCAGGGGAAAAATAAATACACGTCATATCTTATTCAGATATTTCGTAATTTTTTGTAAAAATTGGCCACCCGAGCAATTATTACAATTCTCTATTTTATTATTACAATTATACAGATGCAGCAATGCCGCGTATGGAAAATTTTCACTTGGAAACAGTACTTTCTATATTTCCCAGTCACTACTGTGTGACATCAGTCTGTCCTGACAAACCTGGAACCTCTGATTGAAATCCCATACCTCCAACCACTTAACCACTCATCCATTGAGTTTGAGTCGATAAATGACTAATAATAAGGACATTTTCGTAAAACAAAATTCATGACCAATAAAAAGGCTGCAGATCAAGTATATTAATTAAATCGTTCTTATACATTTCTTATTGTTAGATATTTTAAAATACATACTTCATATATTGCTTTTAGGTGAATACAAGCGACCATAAATCATTGAAATATAAAATTGGTAAGTTACTACTAATTATAAATAGATTTAATTAAAGTTCGTTACAATCACTTTTTATTTTTATATTACGATATATAAAAGCCGGTGTAAATGAACACTTTAGTTTCCTGCGATTTGCTGAAATAGATAAAACATTTCCTTACATGTAACTACTTGATGATATATATATATATATATATATATATATATATATAATTATTTACATACATATGTGTATATGTATGTATGTGTTATGTCTGCTGAGAAACACAAACACCAAATAAGAAATCTTCAATTAAGAAACGTTCTCGGTGGCTGCAGGCACAGTACCACTGTCTACTAATTACTGATAATAATTGTTAATCACAACAGAGACTTATTGACGATTTATTTTTCTACCTTACTTTTACCACATATTTAAGCACAATTTATTTACTATTTTTAACTTCCAGGGAAATCTATAGTAGTCGCCCAAAAATCAAAAATGAAATTTGTTGCATATCTTTGCAATAATTGGCATATCTTAGAAAAAAATTATGTATGTATATCTGTGTATGTGCGTTTAAAAAGCATTCGATTCCTATTAATAAGAAAAGGTGCTGATTAGTTTTTGGCAAAAGCTGGTCTAGCAGTTTCGGAGTACCGTGCAAAAAGTGCAGAAAATGGAAATTCTGTTTTTGAGAGACGGAGAATCTGATTTGAAAGATTCAAAAAACATTTCAATTGTATTGACGCAATGAAGAGTAGATTGAATTTTTGCAAAAGCAGGTCCAGTGCTTTCGGATATATTTTTTTTGTATATAAAATGCCATTTTATCGAAAGGCGGTCGAAAATCAAATATCACAAACTTTCACGAAATTTCAAAATTGTCACAATTAAAAAAAAGATCAATAAATTTTTCTAAGCTTTTAAACATTTTAAATTGCGGCACGGAAAGTTCCAGCAGTTTGGGTTAAGGCACGATGCCACTCACCACTAGTTAGTCTTTATTCCACCTTCAATTCTTTTGCCGGAATTAATAGGTAATATAAGTAATTAAAATCTATTTATTAAAATCATTTTATATTTCGCCCAACACTCCTCTTTATATATAATATAATATATATTTTGATAACAATATTTCAATTATTATTAATATTTATTATATAAGATTGTAGGAAGTTATAAAAAAAAACAAAAGAAACTATAAGGTGTTAAGTTTTATAATAGTAAAATAGCAAATATAAATATCCATTTGAACATCAAATTGTAAGTTAGTAATAAAGAAAGATGATGATTTTCACGGTAAATATCATTTCTGCAAAGAGAAATCTACTCGTCTCTTTATATCTTTGTTCAGTGTTTGGTATTATTATTGCATCAGCATCATCGAGAAGAGTTGCATAAATGCATAAATTACAAATATTCTGTTATAGGGAGTTCTATATAGACAAATGTAAATTATTCGAAATAAATTAAAGTTATGCACGTAATTAATATTTCAATGTAATTGCGAATTAATTATGTAGGTCATGTATATTAGAACTTTATATGAAGTATTTTATCTGTCTGATTCACATAATATGTAAATTAAGATGAATCAAATTATATTTCTTGTAAATATTATTAAGATGTAATAATCAACAACTATAAGTCGACATTCAAAGGTTCATTTATCAGTAACGACATTATTTTTTTATTAATAGCTTTTCTCAAAAATTTTTTTCCTTTGTGTCTCAAACGTGATGTCAAGTAGTAGTCATATGCTTCAACATAAAACAAGATTGAAGTAGAAATCTTAGGTTATTATTAACTTCCCAAAGAAGTTTGTTTTCGCGAAAATCAATTTGCTAATTTTATGTTTTCTCGACGTCTCACGTCATTCTGAAACGAATGAGACCAAATTTGATATATAAAACGATCCTTGACTTTTCTTCGACGTTTTCCCGAAACCTGCTAGACCAATTTCAAAAATTTAAAAGCCACTCTCTGTAACTAGATAAGGATTAGCGTTGTTCAGTTCTGCGCCACAATCGGCCGAGCCGTTTCTTTCTAGTTAGCATGGATGTGAAAAAAATTCGTAGACCTTTTAGCTCACAATCTTAACCAATTTCAAAAATTCAAAAACTGTTGGAAAGATATTGGTTAGGTATAGAGTAGTTTAGTTTTTGGTAAAGTTTGGGCAAACCGTTTCTATGTAATTAAATGTTGAAAATATATTTTTTGACGAGTTTGATGAAACGTTCTATAACGATAGATTTTGTAGTCACCAGTTTGGACGTACGGAAAACAGCTTTGGGGAACGGCGCGCAAATCCAACATCGCCATAATTCAAAGATTTCAAAACAAGATTTTGAAAGAAATTATAAACGCACCCAAGTATGTCCCAAATTGGTTGGTTCATACAGATTTGAACATCAACACAGTTAAGGAAAAAATTGAAAAGTTCAGTCTGGGATATAAGGATAGAATACAGAACCACCCAAACATCATGGCCAAAAACTTAATAAAAAAACCAGGGCATTAGACGGCTCAGAAAAAAACAGCACCTTTTTGATATTCTTCAGTAATCCTTTAATATGTACAATTATTCGTAAGCTTTATTTAAATTTTTTCACATCAGAACTACGCCTGTAAGCTAAACATAACCAACATCTAAGCGGATCACCACTGGGTGACCATTCGACCTTTTACAGTTGAAAAATTTACCTAAATACTAACATTCAATCCTTATTGACTAAGTTGATTATGATATGTCTTAAGAAAAATTGCCACTTACAATTAGTTTATATATTATTTATTTTCTATTATTATTTTCAATAGTACGAAGCCACAATAAAAAAATGACGGATTACTCGAGAAATTTTTAATTTTAATGATATTTATAATTTTGTTCTT